TCAGAAAGAGTGACTGCCATTTGGCTGCGACATTACCCTGCCAAATCAGACATATCTTTCATCATTTTCAAAGTAATTGTACAAAATCTTCAAATTTGTGAAGTTAGCGAGTTTCACTTCATACGGTGTTACCAGACATGCCCAAATCATCAGTTGCTGCCGCGGTATTCATCCCGGCCACTGCATCCCCACGGCTAGGCGACCTGTATGTTAAATTTGTGTTGATAGGGCAGCGGGTTATGCTATAAATCATATGTCACAGTGTTTGTGCACTGATTGCAACAGTTTGATGATACCAAAAATATTTTCATAAATAGGAAATCTTTCCCATCGAACAATCTACCAAGTGTAAATTTTCACGAAAAGAATTCAAAACCAGTAAATGTAAAAGATTCATTTTGCACCCTCCACCACGAGACGTGATCGTCGTTAGACTTGACAACCCTGCAAGTGACAGATAGATATCCCCGCCAGTCAAAAAAGAAAAATTGACAAACAATAAACATTACTAGTTTTTTTGATTTTCGGACTTAAAAGCCATTATCTGTGAAACATTTCTCATAATTTTTTGTCTATGTCCATAGTAATTGCATTATGCATCAGGGAGATGTAGGGATTGACACTTCTTACACATATTATCTGTGTTTTAGGATGGAGAGGACATAATGTTTTTATTGCTTTGAAGAAATTCATTAACCCATAAATTAATAATTACCTATGACGTAAAGGAAGATGAAGAATTGGATGGAATGTGTTTTATATTCTATTTTCTTGCAAAATACAGACAAATCCACACTATCCAACAGGTATGTAATGATAACTTTCAGTATATTGAAGTTGGTAAATTCGAGAGTGCCATGCATTACCAAACGTCCAAATCTGCTGCCAAATTTAACAGCTAGAAAATCGACCTGTTATTTGCCGCATTCCCATTCGCTGAGGGGGATAACGGATTGTTAAATGTTAACCTGTAACATATATCAAAATACATGAAAGTTGTCCTGTTTCTTCTGTACAAAAGCATAATATTCAGAGATCTTTGACAGCTTCTGTCAAATTGCATTTCGATAGGTATTTTCCCATAAGTCCATAATATTAATGTTGGTAAAATCGGCCCTCAAGCTTGTTTAATTCGTAGCTTACTTGTATAGAAAAGCTGTCCTAGTTACTTCATGCAAAAGCATTGGCTGCTTTAGAAAATACGAGATGGACCTCTGCCACTTGATGTTATGGGATACTTTAAAACATTAGTAGAGGTAAGCTGGTAATAGTATATAGAGCTCAATTTGTCAATATCTATACTCCCATCATTATTTTTTATAATATACCTTGAACATGGCGCTCGCTTGTCGGATGGGACATTATATATCCAAAATGGTACTTTTATGGTTTTATTTGAAAGTTATAGGCCGTTATGAGGTTTAATGGTGGGGAAGTTATTGGACAAACATGGAGTTGGAATATATTTTAACGCGCAATATTCTGACCAATTTGCATACTACTGTTACACACATTTGAGAGCTGTTGGATATTACTAATACCAATTCACTACAGCTGTCAATATAACGTGTATGCCTTTAGCCATTTCGCTTTGCTCATACGTACTACATTTTTACTAAATGTGTACAGGCATTTTTTTATACTCCAACTACCACGAAGGCCTAAGGCATAAACACTCATGGGGTACTGTGGGACTATAGGGAGATACAGGGGAAAGGATAAAGGGTGAAAGCTTGAATAGTCTGACACCAAGAACGTCGACGCTTTGATAGTCATTCAAAATCCGCATTGCTGCGAAAGTACAGAAATAGCAAAGCTTTCTGACATTTCTATAACCAAATTTACAATATTGTTGATCTATACCACAAAACATAAATTATCCCTCCGATCTCCCTCATTCTCTATAGTTGCAAACAGTCACTAGGTCATTTATGCCCTTAGCTTGAACACCGGTCAGGTTACGCGTTAAAGTCGTGGTCATCCCGCCGCCATTGTTAATAATGGAAGCCAAGTTGTAAAACGCTTATTCAACATGTCGCCGTAACCAATGGCCCGGCTTTAACTTCTTAAAGATCGTTTTACTGTTTTTAAAAACAAGCACATTTCGTTATTACACTTTATTGAATAATCTAGTAGTTAGTTACTTAGGTATACCAAGATTCTGTCCATTGAACTAACGGAGCATTCGACCTGCATTACACTGAAAACTCACCCTGTACGTCTGAGCAGAGAGCTTTAATTATTAACCCTTTAAGTGTTGGTGGTCTCATAGGAGACCACCTCTGTTAGGTATCAATTTCGCGTAATCGGTGCGCTAAAAATGAGCCTTATCGAAAGAACGATATACACCTTAGGAAAAACCATTGTTATACATGGGAAATCATTTCTTGGCAACAGCGCATCGGCTCGTCTACTTTCATCGCTATTCGTACATATTTCCTACCGTTAACGCGCGTGCCGTTGTCAAGTGCGATAAGGGATTCATGACTCACTCTGCGGTTGGGTTTTGTGTAGGAAAGGTGCGTCTTTATTTAATCCAAAATATCTTAAAAATGTACTCGCAAGAAGAAAAGTTTCAAATGATAGAATGATACATCCAGAATAATTCAGCACGCGCGGTTGTTGAATTATTTGCGGCACGCTTCCCAGATCGGCCAATTCCGTCTCACGCAACGGTTATAAATACCTACGAAAAATTCAAGAGGGTGGGCTGCTTACATAAGTGCCATAGCTGCATGCACCCTGAAGGTTGGAAACCAAAAATTAGAGAGAAAAGGGAGGAGATCGAAACTGCTGTTTGTGCCGCTGCAGAAGTATCTGAGCCATGCTCAAGCAGAAAAATTGCTGAAATGGTACCAATAGCCGATCTCACACCCAGAACAACAAGAAATATTTTGCATCGCAACGGCTATCATAGCTTCAAGGTTGGAACGGTTCAAGAAATATTTCCTTTAGACAAATACCGTCGAATGGAGTTTTGTGAAACGGTCATGGAGAAGGCGAACAGGGATGGAAGTTTAATTGGTAACATTTTGTTTACTGATTAATCCACATTCCCTCTCCACGGTCATCACAATCCTTCAGTCGTTCGGTATTGGTCTCGGGAAAATAAACACCTCAGTATTCCCGTCCGCACGCAGTATCCACAGAAACTGAATGTGTGGGCAGGAATTCTAGGTAATAACATTATCGGACCGTTCTTTATTGATGGAACTCTTACGGCTGCAAAATATTTGGCGTTACTACAGACGCAGATTGTTCCTGCAATTAGGCAGCTTGGCATTGATCTCGCTAATATTTGGTTCCAACAAGATGGATGCCCGGCGCATAATGCGGTACCTTGAAAGTGTGTTCGGCCACCGGATTATTGGCGGTAACGGAACAATAAAATGGCCTCCTAGATCACCCGATCTAGCGCCCAATGATTTTTTCTTGTGGGGTTATGTGAAAAGTACTGTTTACACTTTCAATGAGAGAGCAGCCAATTTGCATAACCTACAGGTGAAAATCGTTGAAGCGCTCGGGCAAGTACAGCCTTCTACCCTCTTGAGAGTTCGTCAGGAGTTTTATAACCGCCTGACATACTGTTCAATGAATGAAGGAGACGTTTTTGAGCCCCAGCTGTGAAGGACCATTTGAAACATTTGTGTTCATTATTGCGTTTTATTTTTGAGAATTTATTTTTTTGTTAGAATATCTTTTTATTTTCATTACACATTTTTAAGAGTGTACTATTTTTTGTTAGAGTGGGTATCTTCTTATTTTTGTTATAGACGCAACCTTTATTGCTACAAAACCAATTATCCATTCATAAAAATAAGTAGAGTGATTTAGGTGATTTCGTGAAATCTCGAAATCACCGAAATCGGTTCACAGGACGTCCAATCGAATGCGCGTAATGCGCGCATCTACTGTACTTCTTCTATCGACTCAACGCATACTGAAATTTGCAGCAGACCGCAGACCTGTATCATGAATGAGAATAATAGGCAGATACGCTGTGTCGCCAATTTGAGTAGAGCTTCCCGAATTGTGGGGAATTTAGAGTTAAGTGTTGATTCATTCAAGCTTTTAATCAGCATGGCCTAGACGTTAGAACTTCATAAAGATAACATTGAAGCTGAATGCTGCTGGAGTATAGTGTTTCGAATATTCAAAGCGGAGCGGGACACTATCCTCGTTCAATGGGTCATCAAGCCACGGTCTTCTCAACAAAGAAATTATTTTACGAAAATGCGTTATATTTTTACGATTTTGTCGTCACCAAATCTCTGTTTCTCAAAATGTACGTCTATTGTAGAATTTTCAGCAAATTAAGCAAGAAACGTGATCTAGTATTTACTCAACATTATGGATTTCTCGAAATACATTAAAAAATGTGACCTAGATACCTAACTGCCCCAAGCTCTTTAAATATAACACCTTAAACCAGGGTTACCAGGTGCTCAGTCACGTTGATTGTCATGTTGTACTGCGCAAGTCAGCAAACAATCTGGCGTAATAAACGTTAGGAATCATCAGGTATTGCCAGATTCCCGAATACCGGGCACCATAGTACTCGTTATAGTTGTCCTTCAAAGTTGTCAAATCGCCCCTATGGCGCAAATTCCCCACACCAGGCAACTGTGCTATAAACAAACTCTGTTTATCACTACTATTTGATAGTCATATGGTAGTTGTAGCCCTATCTAGCGGTCCATGATTTCTCTCAATACTATTGTATCTCTACTGGCAACAAGAATAGGGATTACAAAATCATTTATACAACAATATACAAACATGAAAAATATGATTTGAACCATGAAACATTAATACAATTTTAATAGTTTGAACTTTTTTCATTTTTGGAATACTCTTATGTGGAATCCGCAGCTATTTTTCCCGAAATTTGGGTAGACTTAGATTTCTTAGAAATATGACATATTGGTATCGGCAACTCTGCGAATGGGAGAAACAAATCGCATTTGTTGAGCGCATCCGTCTAAGCAGCAGGCGCCAGCGCCCGTTCTGCCATCTCTCTTTTATCACTCTTCTACTTTACCCCGTTGTCCGTCACACTCCGACGCTGCCAGATACGATCCTTCAATCGAGTGTCCTTCACACACCTACATACTTTTGTATATTTCCATCTCTCTTCCTCATCATAATGTATAATAATGTTTTTTCCCAAGGTGTATACGGGTTAGTCAGTGGTATTTCAGAAGACCACTTCTAGTTGCTGAACACGTGGTCGGCGCGCGAAACTATTATGTGGTCCCTTATTGGACCACGTCTGCATAACGAGCTACCTTAAATACTGTTTTGGCGCAAATTGTGACACTGTGTTATTTTTTTGTGACGTACTAGTGATTACAATAGAAAATATTATAAAATCGTCATTTGCACTGTTGCAAGGGTGAGTGTATTAATGATCGAGTAATAAATATCAGATAAATCAATATTTTTTTCATATAAAGGTACCACTACACTTCTAACATCAAAAATGATAAATTTTGAATTTCAGTTTTAAATCGATATGCGACATCTTACGAAGATATAGTGTCGACAAAGAACAGATTTATGTATATCCGTGTAGCATCCATAACATACTCAAAGTATTCCACTAGCTATTTCCTAGCAAAATATTTTCTTGTAGCTACGACAGCGACTCAGTTTGCCCCTCGGGACCCTACAGGGTAAAAGTACAGACATAACTCTCAACACTGTAGTAAAGTGTCACAGTATAGCTGGAAGTCGGGGTGAGCCCTAAACTACCCTAAATGAGAACGAATACGAAAAAACTTTCAGGTAACTTGGTCTTCTTTCTCATTTCTTTTTTATGGTGCCTTCGTTTACTTACTTTGTTCAAGTTTTGCTCGAGGGGAGATTAGGATTGACTGCCCTAACATTTTCACTTAGTTGGCGCAACTGTATTATGAAATATTTGTAGGAACCTTATAGTCCAGTTACAAACACATCTGTGCTCATCCAATTCTAAGGAGGTTGGATGACGAAATGTGCAATGTTTTCTAGTAGGCGAGATGAGTGTAAGGCGTTCCCTCGAGATAAAAGAGACTCAACATCATATGTGAGTGATCAGTGGCGATATCTATCCAAATAGACAACAAACGTCATCCTCGCAACCCCGTCAATTGCTTCATGGAGTGTCAGCCGGTGTGAGCACAGAGCGTAGTTTTATTACGAAATAATAATAATAATAATAATAATATTTATTCGCCAAAATACAAAAAATGGGCAAATGAATATGAAAAAACCACAGAAGGCATCGCCTGTGTGTGGTTTATATCTTAATAACTAACAATCAATCATATATGTGTATAACAATTATTGCTAAATCTAAAAGGTATTAATGTAATTGGAATTTTGTAGTTTTAGTTTTCTATATAATTATGTATAGTCATTCGCTGCACATTACTAACCCAGTCTTTCAATTTTCTTCTAATTTTTTTTCCAAAATTGAGTATTTTTATTTCGTTTGGTACTACATTATATAATGTAGCTGCTAAGAATTTAAATGATTTTTTGAATAATGTTTTGTGTGGTCTTTGGATATTAGATGAGCCTATTCGAAATCGTGTGTTATGCTCGTGTTTATAGGATTTTTTCTTTTTATTAGAATACTTATGGTATAAGGTGGTGGCATGTAAGAAATAAAGTTGTCTTGTATCAAGTATCCCTGTTTCTTGATATAAGTTGTTCGTTGGATATAATCTTGGCTTATGGAAAATGGCTTTCAAAACAGTTTTCTGTGCTATATTCAGGTCAGAAATATATGTCTTGCATGCGGCACCCCAGGCTGTGATGCCGTATATTATATGGGTTTCAACTAAGGCATGATATAGGATTCGCAGATAACTTTCTGTAAGAATGTTAGCAAGCATTTTGAGTTTATAGGCAACATTTCTAATTCTTTTGATAACATATTTAATATGGTTATCCCACCTTAGATGAGAGTCTATAAATATTCCAAGATATTGTGTTAACTATCGATTTTGGTCTTTTGGCCATGATAATTAACGGAAATTTGTTCGAAGGTAGGTAAAATTTTTGAATAGGATGTAAATGCAATAAATTTTGTTTTTTTGAAGTTATCTGTTAAAATTTTAGTATCAAACCAGTCAATGATCCTTACAAAATTCTTTTCAGCTATTTGCTTCAGTGTGCTCCAGTCATCAGCTTTATATAATACGAGGGTGTCATCTGCAAAACATATAATCTTTCCAGAACTGTTAATTTTGAATAAGTCATTTAAGTAGAGACTAAATAATAGTGGGCCTAGTACTGTTCCTTGAGGCACGCCACACTTGATGTACATTTTTTTACTGTAAGTGTTAGTGATTTTGACAGTCTGTGCCCGACTTGAAAGGTAATTTTTTAAAAGGATTTGTGACGCTCCCCTAAATCCCAATCTTTCCATAACTGTCAGAAGCTCGAGATGGTTAACCGTATCAAAGGCATTTTTTAGATCAACAAAGATACCAATAGTAGGTATCTTTTTGTTGACATTACAGTTAATTTCATCCATTGCAGCCAAAATTGCATCTGTAGTAGATTTTCCTTTTCTAAATCCATATTGGTCAGAACATATAATTTTGTTTTTGTCCAAAAATTGTAATATCCTTTTTTGTAGTAATTTTTCGAAAATTTTGGCTATATTCGATAGTACTGATATGGGTCTATAATTTTATGTTTCCATTCTGTCACCGCTTTTATAACCAGGAGTAATAACAGTTGTTTTAAATGCATCAGGACAAATTCCAGATTGGAAACACCAATTAATGACGTAAGAAAGTGGTTCGGCTAAGTCGTAGGCTATTATTTTTAAATGGTCAGCTTTGATACCATCTACACCAGGACTTTTTTTGGTTTTAAGTGATAGGACAGCTTCTTGTACTTCAATCGGACTAACGCTTTCTAAAAAGAATGAATTGGGAAGTTGGGTTTTTGTGAACTTTTCGTTCGAAACCATTTTCTTAATACTGGATGCTAAATTTTCTCCAACATTAGTGAAAAAATTTAAGAATGCATCGGATATTTGTCGTTTATCTGTTAATATTGTTCCATCACGATTCTTAATTTCATCAATATTTGGCTCTTCTTGAACGTCTTTGTTAATTAAGTGATCGACAACTGACCACAGTTTTCTTGGATCAGATTTGGCATCTTGTAATTTTTTTAGATAGAATTGGCGTTTTGCTTCTCTAACTAGATTGATAAAAATATTTTTATATTCTTTATATTTATGGGAGGTATCTGCACATGGCGATGCTTTCGTTATTTTGTATAGTTCCTCTTTTTTGTTGGCAGACTTTATCAAACCTTTAGTTATCCAGGGATTCCTGCTTCTGTCAAAACTCTGTTAGTACTACATTCAATTAAATATTTTATGCGTTCAATGAGTGTGTTTGCAGCATCATTAACATTCGTTGCACAGTACACTATTGTCCACGATTCTAATTTGATATTTGCAAGTAGTTTTTTATTATCGACAAAACACCTAAATTTCACTGTTTCATTGTTGGAGATGGATCTACTTTTATCTTTTTCTGGTGATGATATAAGTATTACAGTGGGTAAATGATCGGTAATATGGTTTTCAGCAATTAACGGTATGTACCGAAAGAAATTAGAAAAATTTTTGATGAAACAATGATCAATGCAAGAACTGGAACTATTATTGACTACTCTTGTTGGTAAATTTATATTTGATATGAATCCATTGCTCTGCATTACAGTGAAGTTTTTGCTTACTAATTTGGTATGTTGGAGTATATTAATATTCATATCTCCTATTATGATGTGGTGTGACTGTATGGTATTTTTGTTATCTAACAAAAATTTTTCAAGATTTTCTACAAATGTATAAGGGTTTGATGATGGTGGTCGATAGACAGATGTGACTTTTACACTTTTGTTATTAATTCTCAATATCAAATCCAACACTGTGATACCGTCATCAAATTTAACAAAATCACATCTGTAGTTGATATCATTTCTTACATATACTACCACCCCATCATTCTGGTTGTACGTACCATTATTGTAAAGCGTATCATAACCTTCCAAACAGAACAAAGATACATCATTAATTTTCCAAGTTTCTGTTAATATTATTATATCAAATTTGTGTTTAATTGTAGTTAGGAAGATATTAAAACAGTCAAAATATTGGTTTAGGCTTCGTATATTCATGTGATATAAGTTAACATTGAAATTAGAATATTCTAACCATTTATTAAGAGCATTTGCGTCTTGAGCAATATTTGTATTGATATCATTAACCTGAAAATTATTTACAATAAATATTTAACAACTGTGCTTCTAAACTATGGTAAGTATATCTTTCGGAATTCATCACCTTCTGCATGTCAAGATTTATTGTAATGTTTCATTGATGGATTCAATTAACGTTCAGCTTATTATAAGTTATGTCTGAATACCGCACATTCTGTTTGAAGGTTATATTTTGATCGATGGCTTGACATTTTGTATGTGAGATGAAATGATCCCACTGCGTGCGTATAAAACGATCCCTAGAATCATATTACCGCATTGGTATTTTTCATTTTTACAGATCATGCGGCGAGTTTATAAAGCAGCAAGTAGAGAGAGCGTCGATGAAGAATATTCTACTTGCGATGTTTGTCCTTCAAATCGTTTTTAAAATGGGAAAAAAATTGAGGCTATAGTTTTTTTACGTCCACAGCACAAGAAGGAAGCACAAGTCCTATTTTTACATTTAGCAGACATCTTTATTTCTTTAACTGATTAATTAAATTTGTTAATGCCACAATCTTCAAAAAGGTATGAGCCTTTTTGTTTCTTTTTGATTTGAAAAAAGAGTTTATTTGAGTAATTATGATTCGTTTGTTTTACAAACCTTAAAAAATCCGTGGCAATTATTTAACGTTTAATTTTGTTGATGTACGAGTACCAAAAATGATCTCCAATGTAATTAGACTTTAAATGTTATGTTTTTGTTGCTTTAAGCAATACATATGATTCAAATAAACATCTGGTATTTTATTTTGATAATATAAACTATCATAGCGCACAAGATGATCATTTTAACCCTTTTCCAGCGATAATTTACTAAATGGTTCGATATTATGACGAAGCCATCAAACTACAAACATATCAGAAATAAGTATGGAGTTACAAAATAAGTTCACCATTCATAATAATTTGAATATTGTGTATTTTTCTCAAACCTAAGGTGCAGGAAAGTTTTTTTCAAGGGGATGATTATGCACGTATCTGTCTTACATTTAATAAACAGCAACTTGAACGAAAGGAAAAATGGGCAACTTTTTCGAAAGAGTTTTAAAGCTGAAGCTAAAAGTCATCTTAACATGATTTTGGAGGATTTTGCATATTGTTCACTTATTCCTTTAAAGAAAATTGGTAGTTTTCAAAAGTGCCTGGATTAGGAGTTTAAATACCCCAAAATATTTTAGAATCCTTCAACTTGAAACTCGGTGTGGTTATATTATGAACAATTTGTAGTCTCATTGATCAAATTGTTCCTGCCTCTTTCATTTTAAATGTTACTGAAAACGACAAAAAACAAGGAAAACCCCACGGTATAAAATGAAAAAAACACATTCTAGTTGCACCACGCTGTCTCGTGGGCACTTACCACGGTACCACCGTACGAATACAGTAACCTATATATAATTTTTCGGATGAGAGCATCCGAGTATGTTTAGTAAACAACAACTTGAGAGATAGAAAAAATGGGCATCGGCGGGAGTCGAACCCGCATCTCCTCCGTTCCCTGGAGCCGACTTAGCCTTAGCCAATGGGTCTACAGCACCAACATCCAGCGTCGACTGTTAGAGGCAAATTCAATCTTACCCACGTCACTGTTCCTATGTTCTTTCAAGCTGTTTGATGCACCATCTGGCGGCTTTCAAGTGAATCGCATTTTTTTCCAATTTTATCTCTGAATCCATTCCGGTCTCTCGTCAACGTAGGTAGCCCTTGTCGATATGCTTGTTATACACGGTGTTCTGAAACACCTACATAAGCATCGGCTACAACTAAAAAATAACCAACTATAGAGCTTCTTAGCCGTAATCCGCCTGGAGCAACAGGGATATAGCGTGACGTAGCTTTGATTGGAAGCTTTTGTAGTATAGATTTTTGAGTGTAAGAAAATATCGATTCATTAGGCGGTCCATCATGTTACTTTTGACAGCGATATCAAATAACGATGGTTAGAGAAAGAAGAATTTTCATGATCACTAACGTATTCCGTGCTAATTTTACAGTACTGACTACTGTCAATCAGGGGGTGATTCTACAAAAAAGGGTAACTAAATGCCATCAATCAATAGATATGAGGTTTAATGAAATTTTGTTTATATCTAATTTTATTTAAAAACAACTAAGGGCCGATTTCACCAACATTAATATTATGGACCAATGGGGAAATACCTTATCGAAATGCAATTTGACAGCGAATGGGAATGCGGCAAATAATAGGTCGATTTTCTAGCTGCTAAATTTGGCAGCAGATTTGGACGTTTGTTAATGAATGGCACTCTCGAATTTACCAACTCCAATATACTGAAAGTTATCATTACATAGCTGTTGAATTCAATTCCTCATCTTTCTTTACATCATAATAGTAATCATTTATTAATTAATGGGTTAATGAATTTCTTCAAAGCAATAAAAACATTATGTCCTCTCCATCCTAAAACACAGATAATATGTGTAAGACGTGTCAATCCCTACATCTCCCTGATGCATAATGCAATTACTACAGACATAGACAAAAAATTATGAAAAATGTTTCACAAATAATGTCTTTTAAGTCCAAAAAACCATAAAAACTAGTAATGTTTTTCTTTTTGACTGGCGGGGATATCTATCTGTCACTCGCAGGGTTGCCAAGTCTAACGACGATCACGTCCCGTGGTGGAGGGTGCAAAATGAAACTTCTACATTTGCTGGTTTTGAATTTTTTCGTGAAAATTTACTAGGTATCATGACTATAAGCATCTTTGGTAGATTTTTCGATCCGGAATGGGAAACATCTTCTATTTATGAAAATATTTTTGGTATCATCTAACCGTTGCAATCAGTGCACAAACACATATGATTTATATCATAACCCGCTGCCCTATCAATACAAATTTAACATATAGGTCGCCTAGCCGTGGGGATGCAGTGGTCGGGATGAATATCACGGCAGCAATAGATGATTTGGGCATGTCTGGTAACATCGTATGAAGTGAAACTCAGGGTAATGCCGCAGCCAAATGGCAGTCACTCTTTCTGACACAGTCCGGATCGAAAGATGACGATACTTGTGAAATGTATTGATACTTCTAAATATAGGATCGTATCGAACATCCCTACTGTCAAGATGTATAACCCAAGGTACCGACGGAGCTATTTTGCGGCGTCATGGAAATAATTTTAAATTTTCATTTGCATTTGCAAGTGTTGTGCAATGATTTTGGGAAAAATGTCACGAATAGTCTTATAAAGCATAGTAGAGTATATTTCAACAGTTGGAGGAACTTACTCCACTGGGACCAGGAGGGTGAAACGGGATATTAGTGCACAATCTGGCAACCCTGTCGCACACTCACAAAATGGCCGCTGACAACCACACAAGTCACCATGTTGTCATTGAATAGCATGGAATTAAACCTTCTGAGTATGTTTTGTGACTGATACCAAGAGTTGACACATCCCACACATGTGTCACTCCTTGAAATGCAATAATCAGCTGTATGCAAATAGTGTCTAATATAAATATAACCTAGAATGTGTACTCGTGAAAAATGAAAAATATGGCAAATTTGTAGTTTTTTTTGCAGGTTTTATAGGTTTGTTGGTAGCTTTAAGGCCTATATTTGGGAATTACTTAATCGCTGTGAATATAGTGTGGATGTTTGTTCAGTTCCTGAACAACGAAAAATATTCAACTTTATGGATGTATGGATATCAAAAAATCTGAATGGTTTTGTGGTAATATCAATCTAAGGTGCCATAATGGTTCTGATGAACGGTAAGTAAATGAATGAATGTTTGGAAACGAGCAATATCTGTTAATAGACCCTGTCATCAAGTAGGTGCTTAATGGCTATCTGCAAGAGGTTTATAGGAAAAGACACCCAGTGTCACATAACAATTGGAGAAAATAATATAAACATGAATAAAAAATCAACAATAGTAATTAAAACATGAATTTAATTCAAAAATCAAACATTTCTTAAATTTTTGACTGAATTATATGTAATTTCTTAATCTTCAATAAGCAGGTAATGTTTCAATGTCAAGTTGTCATCTCATACTTTGACAGTATTTTGTTTTCAACATTTCATAGCTATTGGTTGCTAAAATTTGTTGATTGGAACTTGAAGCTCATTCGCTGTATCTGACGGTCTGTTACCCTATAGGTGGTGTTGTTGGTGAAATTGGCCCTTAGTCCTTTATTTGGTTGCCCAATTGCAGTGATTTATTTTGAATACAAGTTTTTGAAAAAATACAAAAAATTCTCAAAACGTCAGTCCTTATGCCACAATCCCAAAAACGTACAATCAAGTGGCCGTCTATTGATTAAGTTAAGAAAACTTGCTAATTCACTACAAGAGCCGAGATGTACTTAATAATGTATAGTACAACTGTCATGTTATAATATTGCCACTGTTATTCTCGCCAAATATAACCGAATCGAGATTGCATCCCTGTTAAATTTTAACGTCGGTAGTGAAGAGAGCTGCAGTCCGTGTCATTTGACAGCTGCCCATAGAGTCGTGGTTACTGCGCATACACGTGCCGATCCAGTCAAAATATCAGTACTGTGGTGAGGCGATGTTTCTTTACAAACTTCAGTTTTATTTTGATTCATATGTAGTTAATTGACTATAATATGTTAAAACATAGCTTGCTGATATTCGAAAGTACCAAAAGAAACATTAGTTCGAATTATAATCTCAGAATAAGGTCATTTTCGTCAGTACTTTGGCGTCAGTCCTTTGTCTAATATTGCGTCAATGGACTGACGCGCTTCCACTGTACTGATTTTTTTTGTTTAGATCGCTTTTATCTTAACTGCAAAATTTTTACGATCAAAACGACATGTGATCACAAAATTAGCAGAACTTGAGAAAAAGCTACCTTACTACGTTGCAAAGATGACAAATATCAGTACAACATGATTCATTTAGAACACTGCATATTTCTTGCATTTGTTTGAAATTCCGTTCCAATACTAATATTGTTATATGTTTTTATAGCTTGAAATTAATTTAATCAAACTTTCCCATCGCAGAATAAGGGAAAAATAGCGTCACGAAATAAGACCTGCATTGAGATGTTGTTTCTCGGATTTCCATTGTCTGTAAAGTTTTCTGTTTCACGACGTTTCAATTAATGTGATCATCAATCGAAACGTCGTGAAACAAAAAACTTTATAGACAATAAAAGTCCGACAAACAACATTTCAATCATCGACATTGTCGTCAAATTACAAATAAAGCTCTGCATTATTCTCCGTAACTAACGGAGATTTTATTTCTATAATAAAGAACGACGGACTGTCTTGCTCAGCAAAAGCACTATTTTCAAAAGCAACGACTTGAGTCTCTCCAAATAACTTCGATCGGCTTACTCACAATTTTGATACTGGGAAATGTCTCATAGCTGCATATAAGTGACCTTAAACTCCTGAAATATCAGTTTGCACAGAAACACGGAAGACCGGGTCTTAGATGAAATTTATAGCACTTAAATGTATATATGGTTTTTAATACCGCACCGTGTTGACCGCCATTGGTGTTATGTGACGGGACATAAATTCCGTATTAACTGGCTTTATAGTACTTGGAAACGTTTTCTGCACTATCGGTTTTTAAGATACACTTCTGCTTGTGTACTCCAGCTTATTTTTTTACCTTTTACTTCCACACCAATGGTCGAGAAAATATTGT